AAAAAAAAAAAAAAAAAAAAAATGCAACTACATATTTCCAAACTAACAGATGAAGTATTTTTGAGATTAAAGTTTCAGATATTTTCAACCTCTGTTTTGTATTCTCTTTTGGTTGAATATATCAAACTTTTATAATGGAAACATTTAAACTTTAACAAGAATGAACTGTAATATAGAATGAAGCTATAAACTACCACCATCAACTATTAGTATTAGAAAGTAGCACTGCATAAAAAAAGCAAGTATAAAATAAATTCAATTCTGGGCATGATAGCACACACCTATAATCCCAGCCCTTGGGAGGCTGAGGCAGGAGGACTGCTGTGAGTTCAAGGGCAGCCTGTTCTACTTAGCCAGACCCTGTGTCAATAAATAAATAAATTAATGAATTAAAGGAGGCTGCTGTGCATGAATGAGAAGAGGTAAAAAAATAAATAATTAAAATTAATAATTATATAATGAACATAAAATGGCTACAAGTAAACACATAACTTAGTGGTTACTGTTAATTCCCCTTAGTAAATCTACAAGCAAATGATTCATCAATTTTTTGCCTTTCTTATTATCATGTGAAGTTTTTATTAGTACATCTACTACATATCAGGATGAAATTTTATATAAGAATGACACATAATTCCCAATAATATAGCAAAATCATTTTTACTAAAAATGTGCAAAAAAAGATTTACATGGGTTCTATTGTAGATTAAAGAGAAAATGAACAGAGGACTCCTTTATTACTCTCACTCAAATTATTAATGATACATCTAAGAACTAAATGTTTGGAAAAACAAAGGGCAAAGCGGAATTCATATTTTATCATAGGGTGATACGAAGATTCATTTAAGTAATTTACCTAGGAAAATCTTTATTGTTTGGTGAAGGGTCTTTTTCCAACCAACTTTCATAAAGTGATTTACTCTCAAAACCATCATCAGGGCTGAAAATCTAGAAAGATAAAATAAATCCTAGAGATCAGGGGAAGAAGCAGCTACATTTATGCAAACAGGAAACCATACACTACTAGGTATTAACTTGTACTGCTACCTACCTATGCGGGCACATACATATCATGTTCATTCACAGAAAAATACACTTTTGCAAACGGCAAGAAAATAACCTAGCACAAATTCTTGTTCATTTATGATGCCTATCGTTTTGGTGACTGTGCCTAAGGTGTACTTGGCACAATTAAGAATTTTGCCCACTTCCTGCTTACTTGGGTAAACTTTTTCATAGAGTTTCAATTTTTTCAAGACTATCACATCAATGTTTGCGCCTTAGATTTCTTTTAGTGGAAAACATGAGGAAAAAACATTAGATGCAATATTTACTTTAGTGTATACTTTAGTATAATATTTAGCTTTTATCCAGGGAGACCTTCAAACAAACCTCGAGGGAATAGATAATATAGGTCAAGAAGCAGAACTCCACCCCACCCCACCCCCATGTGGTGGCACACACCTGTCATCTCAGCACTCAAGAGGCTGAGGCAAGAAGATTGCCACAAGTTGGAGGCCATCTGAACTATATAGTGAAACTCTGTCCCCCTCCCCCCCAAAAAATAACAGCTGAACTTGAAATTGCCACTATAAGTCCTGCTTTTGCAGGGCAGGTGTGGGTTGGGTGTAGGAACTATTATGTTAGGAGATCTAATTATGGTTAAACAAAATTGGAATTGTATAGATTTTTTAAAACTAAATAACCTCAGATTTCTATTCAAAATGATATATATATACATACACATATACATATACATACACATGGAGAGAGAGAGAGAGAGAGAGAGAGAGAGAGAGAGAGAGAGCGAGAGAGAGAATATCTCAGGTCCCCAAAGTCAATGGTATATAATGGTGAGACATTTGAGAGGTAAATGTAGTCAGATGAGGTCGGGAGGGCGGGGTTCCCAGAACAGCACTAATGGCTTTGTAAGAAGAAAGACCTCTTGCTGTCTTGCCCTGTGATGCCTTTCTCTATGTTATGACCCAAGAAGCCCTCACTAGATGCTCACTCCTTACCTTGGACTTTAGCATCCAGAACTATGAGCCGATAAGTTTCTGTTCATTATATATTAACCCATATCAAAAGTACGAAGAGTACCTTCATCAAAAGTGTACATAAAAGCATGCTTTTGTTATTTTCCACTCTAAAAAGAGGAAGGCCTTGTGGAAACACTGAACTAGCGAGTCAAGGAGGTCTCTTACAGATCCAGACCACGACACCTATTGGCTATAGTTCATTTGTTTACTTGTTGAGAACTCTGTATTTTTATTTGTTTTTGTGTGTTGAGGGGTGTTGTTTTTTTAAATGTTATCTCACTATGTTCCCCAGACTGGTCTCAAACTTCTAGGGATGCAAGCTATCTTCTTGTCTCAGCCTCCCCAAATGCTGGGATTACAAGCACGCACCACTGCACCCAACCTCATGGCTTTGACTAATTAAAAACAGACCAGGGGTGGGGATTTGGCTCAGTGGTTCCACCACATGACTTGCAAGCACAAGGGCCTGAGTTCAAACCCCAGTACCAAAACAAAAAACAAACAAACAAACAAACAAACAAAAGCAGACCAAAGCAGGCCCTACTTATGTAATATGGTGTATCACTTTCGCTTTGTAAGCTTAGTTTTCTTCCCTGTAAAAACAGGGCTGATGGCACCTATCTAAACTTAATCTCCTCTGATACCTTCTCTGACCTATCTATAGATGCGGTGTTCCCAGCTCTGTGCCACTACCCATGAAAAATGCCCCACAGATATTTACTGAGAGACTGACTCAGAATATAGAAGGGGGAAAATTGCTATCCCTTCAAACAACACACTCTAACTTAACTGGGCACACAATCAAACAAATAAATAATGCAATGTAATGACAAGTAATTCAAAAGAAAACTGCAGAGGTGTTATAAAGAAATGGAAATAGCGGATGGAAGACAGATGTGCCCTAAGAAAAGGGCTTTCTGAGAAAATAGCAAATGACACTTCAGAGCATTTAATACAGCTGTCAGGTACTGGCGCATGTTTCTGGACACCTGTCCCGCTTCATTCTCACTCACATGTGCAAAGGTAAGGAGTTCACTTATAACTCAGGCCTACATCAGCCTTCATGTAGACAGCGACAGTGATGAACCCATCTTCTCCCAGAGTAATGGGCAGCCTAGGAATAGTCATTTTCCCCATAGCTTCATATAAACAAGATGGCACTTCATCATCACATACAAAGGCTTCAATTTAGAAACATCTTGGGTGAAAGATGCCATGGCATGCACCTATAGTCCCAATTACTTGAGAGGCTGAGGCAGGAGGATTGCTTAACTAAGGAGTTCAAGGCTAGCTGTGCAATATGGTAAGACAAATAGAATAACAATAATAATGATAATAACCAGAAACATCCACCCCACATTTTGTAGCTATCTTCCAGCCAGCTGACTGGGTTCTACTTTATCTACTCTGTTCCTGCCAATTTGCTATGGCAGAGAACCTGCTGAAGATCTTATATCTAGTGTCTTGTACTGAATTCCCAGCAAAATCCACATCTTTCAGAATCATGCCATTGCAGTTTCTTGCTACCTGAACCCTTTTGGACTGCTCAGTCCCCACTAGTCTTCCCTGGCTCAGCTAGATGCCCTCAGCACCGATAGTGCTCCTTTTGCACAGTGATACCTCATCCCACTTCTCACTGTGCATGGCAACTGCTCTTCTACAGCCTCAAATTATGGTCAGTTTGACACATTAAAGGTTGGATTGTAATAATAAATTTACAGAGAAGTAAAAAGCCACTTAGTTTATGAGTTCTGGTATAGCCATAAATAAACATTTGCTTTTGTACATAGGGACATGGACAAAAATCTTTCCTGCTTCCTGATTCCAAAATTCTTACCATTCTAACATCAAAGGTGGGAGTTAGCTCTGTAGGACAGCACAAATCATAAATGCACTTTCTAAAAAGGGCTGCTTTCTTTTTACAGTTTGCTTTTATACAAGATGCTTTTGGTAACATTTCAATGAAGTGAAGGTGTAACAGGGAACTCTCATTTTGGAAAAGGAGTTTTTAGAGAAACAGTAAAAAGGCAAAGAATATATTAAGGGAGCTTAGGAAATACTACCTAGAACAAAGTGATACCAATTTCATGTGGTTATCTAAAGCTGACCTTGAAGCATACATTTCTATAAGCAAATTCAGTAACAAAGAACCACTTAAGTAATGTATACAGATCGTAAATGAGTACATTATATAATTTTTAGGGATTTAAACTGCTTCAGTTTTGGTGTTATCTATAATTCATTTAATATTTATAACATTCCTATGCAATATGCAGGCATGAATTTTTTTATTTTGTCTTTAGGTTTGCTATTGCTTAATCTGTTCACTACACAGACATGCAAATAATGAGCAATCTCATAAAAATTAATCTCTCCATCACCAGATTTGCAGATATTTTGTCCTATTTTTCATGCACTATTTCTTCCAACCTTACCACCTTTCCACCAATATATTACGCTTAGGTCACACTGAGCCAAATAAAGGTCAGAAAACAGTTCTTTAATATTTTCAAATCATTTTTCAGTATTGCATTTTCTTTCCCTTTTTTTTTTTTGTGTATCGGAGATCAAACTCAGGACCTTCCACTTGTGAGGCAGGTGGTGGCACCACTGAGCTAAATCCCCAGTCAGTATTGCATTTCCTCCTTAAAATGCCCCATCTCTCGAGAGATGCAGATGAAAACAACACTGAGATTCCACCTCACCCCACAAAGAATGGCTGCTATCAAGAAATCACACAATAACAAATGTTGGCGGGGTTGTGGGGAGAAAGGAACCCTCCTCCATTGTTGGTGGGAGTGCAGACTAGTGCAACCACTATGGAAATCAATATGGAGATACCTCAAAGAGCTTGGACTGGAGGTTCCATTTGACCCAGCCATCCCTCTGTTGGGTATCTTTCCAAGAGAACTAAAAGAATCATATCACAGAGAAGTATGTGCACCCATGTTTATAGCGGCACAGTTTGTAATAGCTAAATCTTGGAAACAACCTATTTGCCCATCCGTTGGAAACTGGATAAAGAAGTTGTGGTTTTTCTATAAAATGGAATATTACTCAGCCATAAAGAGCGAGAGAATAGATTCATTCATAGGAAAATGGATACATATTGAAGATATACTCCTAAGTGAAATAAATAAGTCCCACATGTGTAAATACCAAATAGTTTCCCTGGTGTGAATATTCTGCAACAATGCATAAGATTCTAATAAGATTACTGACATTTAGAAATGGGAGGAAAGGAGCTAAAGGTGTAGGGAAGGTGTGATACGTAGGGGAAGAACAAAAAGGGAAAAGAAAAAAATGTGAGAGAATGAAAAGATGAAAATAAAGTGTTTGTAGATGGGGAGGGGAGGAGGGGGTGAAGGGAGGGCAGAGGTAAGGGGAAAAAAATGAGAATCAAGACTTGCCATGTAAAGGTACATGATCCCAACAATGAATGTAACTGTACTGTATCCCTAAATGTACCAATAAACTCAATAAAAAAAAAAATGCCCCATCTCTTACTTCTGTATGCTTCCATGTGACAGCCCAAAATTCACTGTTCTGTAAACCTCTTCATACGCTTCCCAATTTCCCCTGGCTATTCTAGAATTGTGGAGTGTCTATTCCATACCCGTTCTCTACTGTATACAGTATCATAAAATCTAGAGAATTTAATTGCATACTGACAGATCTGTATTCCCTCTAGATTATCCTTTGAATTAAGTGGCCTTGTCCTTTTATCCCTGTTGTTAATAGAATTCATTTTACAGGGCTTGACTCAAAGTAACCACTCAATGAACATCTGATGAATGAAGGAAGAAATTAACAGCAAAGGCAATTTTTAAACACAAGATCTTTTCATTTCAACTCAGTGTTCTTTGCACTGTATCAAGGTACCTCTACCAGATTAGTATCAGACACTCTATACAAGTATGAACACAAGTATTAGCAAGAACACAAGTATTAACAAGAACTGGCAACACTACCTTCATAGTTATATCACAAAGTAAATCATGTATTTAAAATTTTGTTTTTACTTGTTATTTACCAGTTAGCTACAGTATGTTCCATCATCAATTTAAAACTAAATGCCACCAATTAAGGAAGAAAAATTATTACTTATTTATCTATTCATCAGAAAACATAGTAAGACAGATTCCCTTTTGTACCTCTTTCGTCAGTTTATAAACCAACTGGTAAAGAAGGGGTGTACAGTCAACTCTGAGAGTATAATTGCCTGAAAAATAAATAAAACACAAAGAGTATTATTATCTCATCTTTCCAAATGCAATTCCAGTTATGTTTTATTCTAACTATTTTCTAGTTGTAAATAAGACCTAGCAGTCTTTAAACAAAAGACAAGTCCCACAAAATAAAACAGGATGGAAATGGTTCTTCACAGGAGAATGTGTACCTAAGACTGAAGAAGGAAAAGGAAAACTTTGGTGGCTATGGCAGAAGGTCCCAGAGCAGTCAACCCAACACCCTTTGGCAGCCACTCTCACGGGGACTCTGGCAAAGGGAGGAGTAAGGCTACAGAGATCATTCTTTATTCTTTGATTCAAATCAATTGTGTATATTAAGATGCTAGTGTGTATGTTCTGCCCTTCATGTAGAAACTATCAAAATGTAATGAAAACCTAGACACAAATATTGACAAATATTTCATTACTGTATGTATTACTGTACTTCAAATTTGCCCAATAAATATAGGAAGTTATCTTTTAAGAAAATGTTTTAATACCAGAATATTTCTGGATAAAATACTCTATAAACTATTTCCTGTGAAATATTTCATCCAAATCTCTTTAGTATCCCCAAAAGAAAAATGCTAATATTGCAGTATTTACCAAGATAGGAAAATGGTAAATATGCCAAATAAATTAAGACTTAAAAAGATAGTATACTGCTTAATAACTCTGAATACAAGTTACTTGATTGAGACAAAATTTACTACTGGAACACTTTATTTCAAATTGAAATAAAATTTTACCTTCTATAGATGAATCTGAGTTGATATAAGCAATACTTCTCTCTTGGAGTACTTTTGCATTTTCCTGTATTTGAAGGAAAGTTGTTACTTAATTCATAATACTTACTATTGTGAAAATATAAATAAAATAAGCAAACCAATTTTCTGAAAATGTAGTCTCCAGATACCTCTACAAATCAAATATCTGTGTCTGTCTGTAACCACAAATTCTGAGAAAATACAGATAATTAGTTGGTTGGTAACATTATTGTCAATGAAAAAGAACATTAAGAAGCAGTAACTACCATATATAGTAGTAGCAAAGAGGCTCAATGAAAAGAAATATTTTCAAAATGTAGTTTCTTGGTCTCCTGCATCAGAAAACTGCAGAAATAAGGCTTTTAAGATTCTGGAGTCCTACTCCAGATGTACTGAATCAGAAACAAAGCCCAGAACACAAAACAGATGATCAATCTTTAGGTCCACTGAAGGTTTAGGTTCTTGAAGAGTCGATATAGATGTAAAGTTATTCTTTTAACAGCAAAAAATAGAAAATTTCCATTGATCTGTGCCTATAAAAATACAGAAAAAAATATTTTTTTCTGCATGACAGAAAAAAATAAAAGAAAGTCAGATGAGAATAAGAACAAGACTCTCACATACGCACAAAACAAAGATCCAATAAGGTAGTCACATGCTGATGGGAACATACTGAGAAAGCCCTTTACCTCTCTCCCCCTCGCTTGCTACCTTAGTAGAGTGTGGTACAGTAAAAGAATTTAAAGGCTTGTGTGGCTGTGGCACAAGTAACAACTGTCCCCTCTTCCCACCTCCCAACACGGGACAGATGACAGTTGCCTTCGACAGAGTTGGAGTTTCCATTACAACATATTTCCACTGGACATAAAGATTCCTTATGTATGACTATAAGTTTAAGTCTTTTTCTTAACATGAAAATCTGGTACAGAATTCCAAAAAGTGTTTCTGAACCATATTGACATAAATTAATGCAAAGTGTGTTAATTATTTTACACCTTAAACTTTTGCCTTTATTTTGAACTTCTGAAATTGTAGAAATGGAGATATATATAACATATATATATATACTTATGTATACATACATCACAAGAAATTACATATTTCTAAACATGAATGGCCTTGATTTTTCAGTTTTTGTTTTATTTTTGAGACAGGGTCTCACTACGTAGCTCAGGGTAGCTTTGAACTTACTGCATAGCCCAGGCTGGCCTCAAACTCACAAATCCTGCCAGCTCAGCCTCCCAAGTGCTGGCATTACAAGCACGCACCACCATGTCTGGGGTATAAATGACCTTAATGAATGACACCTAACTCATCTAAATCATTTTTCTACTTCTGAAATACATATTCATAATGCTGATTTTAAAATAATAATTTGCAACATACATAGAATCAGCAAATAAGTGAAAGCAGACAAATAACTGTGTATGTGATTTTACATTTACATTTGATTCATGTGATTTTTAATGTTTAAAAATAATGTAAGAAGGAGAGTGAGGAAGAAGGTCTTTTTAAAGACTGAACACAATGGCAAAACACATATGTGATGCTTTATGACAACTCTATAAAATCTGGACTTAGGAGTGATAGATGGAGAAACAGTGAGTACTTACATAATGCACCTACCTTTATAAAAATGTATGTATGAGCTTACCTTGAATGTGTGAGCACATTGCAATTACTCAAAGGAGAGGCTGAAGGAAGAAGAGGAAAGAAAGGGGGCCTAGGAAAGATACTTAGAGAGTTAAAAGCCGACAAATGAAATCTAATCATATATGGTAGGGGGAGCCTGTGGAATTATAAAGTAATTATAAAGTATTTACTAAAGCAATTCAGTTTACAAAATTAACATTTGTACTAAACAGAGTGTCTATCTGTTGTGAAAAGTACAATGTACCAATGGTTGCAATTTTATATGGAATCTGTAAATATGAAATCATAATCAAAGTAGTCATCTTAGTAAAAAATCTTATGTTTTTCTTAAATAAGAGACCTCCAAAGAAATTTAAAAACTTGAAAATTGGCTCCAAGGATCTATGTAATTTTTTAGGTAGATCAATTCATGCGTAAAAAATAGTTTCCTAATTCTGATAATTTTCTGAGCTTATTGACTTTTACTTTCACAAACGAAACACAAACATAATTTGACAATGAATAAATCTATTTGTAACCTAAAATATTGTGTATTGCAAACTGATATGAAAATAAAAACATTCTATTTCTTGAATTCTCTTCAGTCTTTCTCCAAATTAAAACCATACCAAGTAATGAAATCTATCCATAGTCATCCTAAGGCACAAACACACTGCACACACACAGTCATCCCGAGCCACATACGTACACACGCACGCATGTGCACACACTTGTTCCTATTGACCAAGAAAGTCACAAGAACCTTCCCTGTTTTGTTTTGTTTTTTTCTGGTAACAGAAATCGAACTCAGGACCCTGCACTTGTCAGGGAGGCACTGCACTGTTGAGCTACATTCCCGGCCTTTCCCTCTCTTATTTACCTCAGCCCATTCTGTAGAACCCAACAGTCCAAATTCTTCTGCATCCCAGCTGGCAAAAATGACAGTTCTCCTAGGTCTCCAGCCTGTTATCATTAACATACATAGTTAGACACATCTGCAGTGAAATAAAGTCATATCCTGGCATTACCTACCAAAAGAATGCTACTGACCTCCACTTGTCAATTTTCCAAAACTCTGGGCTATTTCTTGCAAAACTGCAGTCCCAGTGGTTGGGTCAATACCTCCAAACACCCACGAGTCCCGATGACCTCCCACGATAACATACCTGTCTGGAAAATAATGTGTTCAGAAGAACTTAACACTTTATAAATATTTGTAAGTTATGCCTTGAATTAAACTTATTCCTCCTGTATGAGTTTCTTTCACAGAAAACAATCAACACTGTAAAACCTTTCAGAGTTGTATGATTTCTCCCAAAATTTAGCAGTTTCAAATCAGTCAGAAAAATATCAATTGTTTAATGAAATTTATCTTTTTTAACTCTTTGTTTTGGGGTTTTTTTGTTTTGAGACAGGGTCTCACTATGCAGTTGAGACTGACCCGGAACTCACTATGTAGCCCAGGCTGGTCTCGAACTCACAGCGATCCTCCTGCCTCAGCCTCCCAAGTGCTGGGCTTACAGGTGTGGGCCACCACGCCCGGCTTATCATTTTTTAACTCTTAAAATTTGTAAAAAACAAAATGCTTAAAAAATTCGTTAACTCACCAGGTTCCTCAGATCCTCTAATAATTCCAATTACATTGTAAATTCTTGTAATTTTATTGATGTTATGAACATGCATTTTCACTTTTCTGGAATTTCAAAAGGAATAAATTATTTCATGTGAAATATTACATTTATAGTTTTCTTCCTACTTTTATTAAGCAAAACCTCAAAACTACAGAAAAATTGTACAATTCCTGTATATCTGCCACCTAAATTCAAAAATTACTAATTTTTAAAATCTTTTCCAGGAAGTTACAGACATCCTGACAGTTTACTCTCAAGTACTTATGTATTCACTTTAAAAACTGATACACTGTATATTCTCTCTCCCTCACAGCTGTATTGTTGGTTATCTATTTACAATTCAAAATATCATATGTTAGGTATTCATTCTAAAACCTTTAAATAAACTCCTCTTAACTGTGAAACAGGAATTTAGCTTAGTGGTTCCGCCGCCTGCTTCCCAAGCATCAAGGTCCTGAGTTCAATCCTGGTACCAATAAGTAAATAAATATATACGTATGTCTATATACTTAACTGTGAAAATGAAGAAGACAGTCCTTTATGCAATAAACAATAGAACATAAACTTGTTATTTGAACATTTATCTTTATGAAACCATGCACAATACTGCTTTACAACGTTTTGTGGGCAATACACCACAAAATAAGATGGGTTCCCATGAGATTACAATGCAGCTTAAATGTTCCTATTGTATCATGATGTTGTAGCTGATGCAAAATCACAGCATAATCCATTACTCATACATTTGTGGTGATGCTGGTGTAAACAAGCATACTTCACTGCCAGTCGCATAAAAGTATGATATATACTCCATAGCACAGAAATATTTTCCCTAATTTCTTCACTGCTAAATACCCAGAAGCTAGAATGGTGCCTTGGGTACAGTAAATAAATATTTGTGGGATGAATAAGTACACTCCAGTAAGGAAAAACTGGGAAACATCCTAGCCCCTTCGTCATTGCCTTGGGGTAGACAGTTTTCCAACGCTGTAGAGACAGCAGTTAACTTGTAAAATGATACTAACATCAATTCATGTCCAATAAAATGGTATCTAGTGAAGACGCTATTGAGATCCCTCCCCCACTGTGGAAGGAGCCAGTTTTTCTGACCTTATACACATTTATTTTGACATTCCTGATGAGGTGACTTTTTTAGTATAATCTTTGAATCTTCGTTGAACCAGCTTAACACCCTTCCTGGCCCTACATCCAGAAACAATACTAATAATTAATAATAAATTAGATAATAAGTTAAATGAAATCTTCAGCACACGTTTATTTTACACTTGTATGATAATCTTTCGTAATTATCAGAGGGCCCTCTGTGATGTCCAACGGATTCATCTTGCAGATGAATGGGTGGTTCGAAGCCATTCATCATACTGTCCTTTGGCTCCTGAATATAAATCCCAGCTGTGCTGCCACTCTCTATGTCAAGTGTCATTTTTTCTCTACTAATTTTGTGTTCTATTTATGTTCCTACTTTGCTTAGGGCAAGAGTAAGTAATGCTTCCTTCGTGGCAGCAATGATAGGGAATTTAGTGTTTGTGTAATCATTTGGTAATCTCTCTAAGATCACAGAGGGGTGACAGATAAGACAGGATCTTGTTTTTCAAGGAGAACAGCTTTTTGATATCTAGACTGGGATTTCTTATACTTCTGAGTTACTCTTGAATGATGACTGAATTTATAGAACGATAATCAGTTCATAATAATAGTTCAGAGGGCTACATGTTCTCTCAGTTTATAAGCTTCTGATTATAAATCAGAAAGGCCTTTACATTTCATTTAATGAGTATGTTATATTTTCCTTCCTCTGTAGAATATGAATAATAATCTCTTTAAAGCTACTCTCTTTTGATTAAATTACAGACAAAAGCACTTTTGCAAATATTTATAAAACTCCTATAAAATAAGAAAATTGAATTTCTAATATTTTAAATATTCTGGAATAAAAAGAATTTCAGGAACTAAAAAGCACTCTGTTAAAGCTCACAGAATTAAGATACACTGTTAAAAAACAAGACTAATTTAATAATTTGTTTTACTAAAAACAGCTGTATCTTTTCCGATTTACCAGTGTTACATTTCTCACTCTGCCAAATTGTCAGGTATATCAAACTTCTTAAAGTTATCATTCATGTCATGTTCCTCTACAATGTGAGAAGCTGATCCTGCCCTCCTTCACCCAGTGGAAAATTTTCATACTTTCCGTGAGACTAAGCTCCACAGACATACTTTTTGTAATCATTCTCTTCTACAGTAGTGTTTAATGTGTTAAAAGGAATACGACTACAATGATAAGTGCATTGACCCTTGCAACTACAGGATTTACTCATTTTAACCCATTTAATGCACAGGTAAGTGAATAATTGTTGGCTCCTTCCTCTTCTCTTTTACTCCCTCCCTTAAAGTACTGTTTTACATGTATAGGATTTTGAATGCTATTGGACAAACTATAACATACTTTAATTGAAGAGTAGTTTTAAAAAATCATTGTTTGAGTTGTTGAGCCTATAACTCAAATAAAAATTTTGAGACTCTGAAACAAATATTGTGATAGCATTACAAGAATAATTCAATAATTCATTTTGTAAGTACTTAAGTACAACTGTTCACAAGTAGTAGTAAAAAAAAAAGTAAGCAAAATATATCTGGTAGAACAGTTATCCTGACATTTTTCTGTTGAATTATAGGACTTTTTCAGGCTATTACAGTAAAGCAAAATTACCTGAAAGAATTATTCCCTATAAAGCCAGGCCCAACACTGTAAGTAACATTAAGCATTCCCTTCCAGCTCTCATCTGGTGGGGAAAGTCCTCCCAAGTGTCTGTCAAGAGAAAATGAAATGACAAAAAAGGGCTGAGCAACACAGTTTCCAAGAAGAAAATTATGAAGCTGAGGATATTTCACTCTACATCTAAGAACTGTTTGTTGAACAAGTTATCAAAAAACCCTTCTCTTCTGGGGCTTACACTCTAGTAAGTAAATCATGACTGAGACAAATAAGTAAAGTACATAAAACAGTACTTTATGTCAGTGATAAGAGGTAAGCAAAAAGATAAAATAAAATAACAAAGACCAATGGGAAGCGCTACTCTTATCCATAGTTATTTATGTCAGGAAGCAGTGAGTTGAAGAAATCCAAAAATATGGGAAATTCATGATTATTTTAAAAAGAAATTAATTTGTAAAAATGTTGATGATTACCTGTAATACCTACAAAGAAATTATTAAGTTGTTCTGGTACTGACACTTAAAAAATGAAAGTGTAAAAGAGCTATATAAAGAAACATCAGTTATAGAATACAATGACAGCAAGCATTGCTTGAGTGTTTGTCATATTGTAGATTCTGTAGTACCATGATGTGATAACGGCCCTATCAGAGAGACACACTGCTGCCCTCATTTCACAGATAAGGAAATTGAATCATCATCGTGTAAACTGGGCCAGAATCACATTGTTACACTATAGGTCAGGTATGGATATCTAAGGAAATCCAGCTACTTGAAACAAATCTCAAATCAGTACTGATTTTTATCTTTGGACACAGTATTGCATTTGGGAATTTCATTTGTGGCAAACACAGCCATGTTTTATTATTATTTCTTAGTCACTAAATTGTTCTCTCTTGATATAAAATGAGTATGCTCTATTATTCATATATGAAAGTCCTTTACTATAAGACTTTACCTTTAATATAATTAGGTTGCACTTTTTTTTTAGATCAGAAAATGGACATCTTAGGGTAAAATATTTTACTCTCATATCCAACTAAAAAACTATACCGTAATAATATTTCTGCATCATTATATCCAATAGGATGTACAGGTATTTGAGGGATTCCTACTCCTTCTTCAACATTAAGTCTGAAAGTGTACTCTGCAAAATGAAAATAAAGCTGATGAGCACTCTGAAGTCCAACATATCTAAAAAAAAAAAAAAACCAAAATAATTGAAGGATCTGAGCAAGAATATGAAATTTCTTATATTCCTATTATAAATTTTCAATACATTTGCAATTATATTCAAATTAGAAGTTCCCAAAAAGTAAAATAACATTTACCTAATTCTGAGTCAACAATAAAAAGTAAATCACTTACACTTTAAGAAATAATCAGTTGTATCTATCTTAGACTATAGACTTTAATTCTCTTTAATTTAGACTTTAATTATAGACAATTCTCTTGAATTTTCAAGAATACATATATATATATATATATATATATGCACACATATATTTTGTTTTTGTTTTTTGTTTTCTTGAGACAGGGTCTCACTATGTAGCTGAGATTGACCTGGAACTCACTATGTAGTCCAGGCCTGTCTCAAACTCACAGCAATCCTCCTGCCTCAGCCTCCTGAGTGCTGGGATTAAACGCATATGCCACCACACCCGGCCTATTTTATTTAAGATATTTTGAATCCTTAGAAAAGCTTCAATTAATCAGTAAAATTTATTCCAGGATGATAGGATCATGTTGACACCCCCAAAATTAATATGATTGATTTAATAAAAGTAAATGATAACATATGATCATCTCAATATACACAGAAAATGCATTTGATAAAAGTCAGCCTATATACCTGACAAAAACTCTTAATAATTTTAGGATAGAAATGAATTTCCTCTGTATGAGAAAAATGTATTTACTCAAGAGAAATAATATATATACATAGATATATATCTATATATCTATATCTATATATATGTGACTTATGGAATTGTTCACTGGACTTTTAGGTACAAAAGCTCCCAAATGTCCATCAACAAGAAAATGGATAAACTTTGCTATAGTCTATCAACAGAACACTGGTCAGAAAGAGACTACTGACGACAAATATGCTGACATGGGTAAGTCTCAAGATGATTATGCTGACGGAAAGAAGATTATTGCCTGCCAAGGGGTTGGTATCAAGGACACAAGAAAAATTGGGAGGAAGATGTCAATGGAAATAAGAGGAAAATTTTGGGGGGTAACAGACATGTTCATTAGCCTGGCTGTGGAGATACTTTGACATATACCACAGATTTCAAATATTACATTTAAAATAACACCATTTAAATAAATAACACCATTTAAATAAAAGTAACACCATTTAAAAACCCATTAGGCCAGGCATGGTTCCATGTGCTTTAATCCCAGCACTCTGGAGGCTGAGACAGGAGGATCACCAGGAGTGCAAGGCCAGCCTGGCCTACATAGTGAGTTCAGGCCCAGCCTGAACTACATAGCAAGACCCTGTCTCAAAAATATATAATAAATAAATAAATGTGCTTCTTTTTGCACTAGGTGTGTTTCTTGTGTACAATATATTGCTGGATTTTGCTTCTTATTCCATTTTGCCCATAGACTGAAAGTGAAAAGATAGACAATTCTCCATGTGACAGGAGCCCAGAAAAAAACAGGGGTAGCAATCTTATTTGCAGACAAAGTAAATTTCAAACCAAAACTGAATCTAGTATTATTGATGTAGGACAGTACTGTATCATACCTCTATGAATGTAAAATATCTAGTACCTGCTTTATGATACATAATAGGGACCGTGCTTTATCAGAGCTACATTTAATGATATTACTCTAGAATGTTCTCTTTCCAGATGATGATTAAGAGGCTAATAGAAAAAATGGTGCCAGTTACCAAAACTGCAACAGAACTTTGCTGTTGTCTGGATATTATTCTTTTCTGTGTTTTTTTTTTTTAATGGAATGTGCTGAATGTCTATAATTTTGTTCAGACGACTGCAGAACCTGGAAAAGCTG